GTGTGTATGGAAAGCAAGTAAGTTGATTCTTTTCACTCCAGAAAGGTGTAGAAGATCGGTTTTTAACTCGACTTTAAGTGACACAATGATTACACTAAAGCTCTCAAATATCAAGGTTATTTATACACTAACCTGTGGTGTGTATGGAAAGCAAGTAAGTTGATTCTTTTCACTCCAGAAAGGTGTAGAAGACCGGTTTTTAACTCGACTTTAAGTGACACAATGATTACACTAAAGCTGTCAAATATCAAGGTTATTTATACACTAACCTGTGGTGTGTATGGAAAGCAAGTAAGTTGATTCTTTTCACCCCAGAAAGGTGTAGAAGAACGGTTTTTAACTCGACTTTAAGTGACACACCACATCTAGAATCGATAACTTTTACTGTTTTAAAAATTACAAATTTATTTCATGTGTTCGTTGTTCAAAATGTGGTTGCTACCCTTGAAATGCAGAGTTCCATTAACTAATGTTGTATCCTTGTGACGCAGAGTTCCATTAACTAATGCTGTATCCTTGAAAAGCAGAGTTCCATTAATTAATGTTAAAGTTAAAAACTTGACACCGGGTAGCTCTTGAGTTGAATTGGTATTTTGATTCAGTCTTTATCAAAGGACAGGAATGTGACGTCATACATTCCTCTACTTATGATTGGCACCATAATAAAATAGATGCTATTAATACAATAAAATCCTCCCTATATCCCAGACTAGAGCATTTATTTCTCTATGATCTATGAGAAATCATAGGAAACAGATTGTTCTTAGAGGATATCTCGTTAATGTTTTTATCCCCCTCATTACAAAATCCAGTAGAAAAAATTGTATTCAATAGATACCCACAATTCCTTTAAGTTATATAGTAATTATGTAGATTACTTAGGTCTATGTATCCTTTCACTTACCCTACGTATTCACTTAGCTCTATATACCCTTTCAGTTACCCTATGCAGACCACTTAGCTCTATGTACCCTTTCAGTTGCTCTATGCAGGCCACTTAGCTTTACGTATTCTTTTAGTTACCCTATGTATCGTATGTAGTCCACTTAGCTCCACTTATCCTTTCAATTACTCTATGTTGATCACTTAGCTTTATGTACCATTTTATTTACCCTATGTCGACCACTAAGCTCTGTGTACCCTTTTAGTTACCCTATGTAGTCCGATTAGGTTTATATGTATTTTCAGTTACCCTATGTCGACCACTTAGCTCTATGTACCCTTTGAGTTACCCTATGTAGTTCACTTAGCTCTACGTATCATTTTACTTACCTTATGTATCCTTTCCGCTACCCTATGTAGACCACTTAGCTCTATATACCCTTTCAGTTACCCTATGCGGATTACTTAGCTCTACGTATCATTTTAGTTACCCTATGTAGAACACTTAGTTCTACGTACCCTTTCAGTTATACATGAATGTCCTGTGAAACTGACCAAGATAGATGGTCCTATAAACCTAACACGAGTTTGTTTAATCCAAAAAAAAAAAGCAAAGTTATTGAAGACATGGCAAATATATCAGGCGTTAACACTTCTTACATCTAGCTCGTCAAGGACGTGTTCAGAGTCACATCCAAACTTTATACTGCAGTTCGTATTTGCTCTTTCTGGATCAATAAAAACATCGTTAAAGGAAACTACAGGAAACGAGTTAGACCCTACAAAATTATGGTCATCAGGATATCTATCGTCTAAAAAAATGAAACAAGAAAATTT